AAGGAAGGAAGGAAGGAAGGAAGGAAGGAAGGAAGGAAGGAAGGAAGGAAGGAAGGAAGAAAGATTAAAAGGAAGCCTGTTGTTGGGGAGAAAAGAAGAAGTAAGGAATAAAAGGAAGAAATAAGAGGAATTGACAGAGGACGAGAGTAAAAAAGGACATAGAAGAGAGAGAAAACACATTTTTCATTTCATCTTTAGGGGTCAAGTGACATTTACTATATTTCCTCTGTCCACGGAAATAACATTCAGTTATTCATTAAAATGTGTATTTATATTTCAGCCACTGTAGTGAGATGGGGGAAAGAGAGAGAGAGGGCACAGAAATGCTATTGAAGACTACACCATTCAATTTTGAAAATTTTTTATGAAGTGTGATATGAAGCAAAGGTGCTCAAAGCAAATGCTGTCAGGGTTCAAAGTCAGAAGCATTTTCTTTAATTATGCTTTCTATTTTCCTGAATCCTAATTTTGAATAGTACAAAACTTTTAAAACAACTTTTTTGCATGTGAATAAAATACATTTTTTCTGCTTCTGAACAAACTTAGATAAGCTCAAAGCAAGAAAGTCACAGTTATAAAATGGAGCCGTGTCCATTTGCTGAGTCCACTCATACATGGTCCAGGGCTGTGAAAGTGCGGGCTGGGCATCTGTCTGCTCCCAGTGAGCAGGGCTAGTGACTCTGGCCTCCCGCCCTTAAGCAAGAGAAATCATGTCATCCTAATGCCCTGATCCCCGCATGGAAAGCCTAGCCTGCTCTTGTTAGTAAGAGGGAGTCAGAATTCCCCCAAACAGAGCAGTGACTTACAGATGTTTAATCATGCAGTGAAACTAATGCTAATGAACTGTTATGATCTGCACAGCACGGGATGTGCATTCAAGCACCATAAACTGATGATTTCCCACTGTACAGTGGTAGGGTTCTATTCTTTCCTAATCAATCCAGTGAACAAAAGACACTTTGAGGAAATATTATGGACACAACACTAGCAAAGGTCTGACATTTTAAATGCAAACAATTACAAATACAAATAATTGTTTTCCAGATTCCCTCTTCCCTTTCTCTCTCTGTCTCTGTCTCTGTCTCTGTCTCTCTGTCTCTCTGTCTCTGTCTCTGTCTCTCTCTCTCTCTCTCTCTCTCTCTCTCTCTCTCTCTGTGTGTGTGTGTGTGTGTGTGTGTGTGAAAATGAAGCCATGATTTTGCTCATGCTAGGCCAGCAGCACTCTGTTCCTGAGCTCTACCTCAGCCCTTTACCATGTAGACAGTCTTATGTCAGAATTTCATGGCCCAGAACAGTGGGTTTTCTCATATGTGAGGAAATACAGCCCAAGACTCCTAGTTATACCTAAAAATGTAGATGGTACCAAACCATAGATAGGTCATTCTTATCCCCAGATGTTCTGCAGTTTTGGTGAACAGTTCCAGTGTTAATTTGTCTTCCCATGTTTTATACTCTGGTTACTACTTTTGTGCTTTGGGTCATCATGAAGTAAAACAGTAGTTGCTTGAAAAAAATTCTCTGATAACTGGGTAGTCAATCTGATAACCAAGATACCTGCTAAATTGTTATTGGCAGGTAGTGTTTGTAGCATGGCTATGCTGGGCAAAGCATGGTTCATGTCCTGGTGGGATAAGTCAGAATATTGTTAGATTTCATGAGAATGGTGGATGATAAAAGTCTTATAAATAGTTTGTTTCTGGAATCTACAATTTACTATTTCCTTTATATGACTGACCATGGGTAACTGAAGCTAATGAAACTGTTGGTAAAGAAAATTCTCTAGAAAGGCGGCATTAGGGGTTGAACTGGGGCAAATGTAGGGCATTCTTTGGATGCCAGCCACACACCACCCATGTCTCCCAAGCAAGGAAAACTAGAAATCTCTCCAGAGATCATCAATGTTCTCTGTAGGGCAAATCAGTTAAGAACTGATGTTCTAGGAAGAGGTGGGCTTTTATTTATTAGAATATTGTGTATGGTGAATGAGACAGCCGCTCTGAAACACCTGATATTAAAAGGGTGTAGTTTACATCCTTGAGCATAATTTTTTCATTTAGTATTTCAACTCAGTTCTGCTTAAAATGGAAAGTTGTTAACATACTTGAGCTTGTTGACTACTCTGGATAAATTTTGTTCTTATAGAAATTAAATATTACCAGTTCTTATGAAAAGCAAAGACATTTTTAAATGTCTTTAAACTTAGAAATGTATGGACTACATTTTTTTTAAAATCTTGGAAACACTGGCTAAGAGCAGTTAAATTTAACTGTTTGTAGATCTAAAGTTCGTGTTATCTCTTACCCATGCTGTACTTAGAAGAACTTTGGCGGGATATTCTAAAAGTGCTTGGCATGTTGACATAACTTGGCTTTCCAGAGTAGGGCTGCACACACAATTTTAACACTTTGTTATTCCACTACCATGGAGCAGAGTCCTTGACAATGAGGAATGCATTGGCTCTTAGGAGGCCAAAGGACAGGTCACTGAGGGTTCAAACTGGAGTTACCAGTTTGTTTCACACCTGGCTCTGTTGCTTGCTAACTGAGTGACCTGGGGCCAAGAAGCTTATCTCTGTCATCCAGTGTCTCTGGCTGCACTTAGACTGATGTGAAGAATTTAATACTGCATTGGTAGATAAGTACTTTTAGTAATTTATTTTTCAGGCTATATTGGTAAATGAATAGTTTTAACAAATTATTTTAAGAATGCAAAATTCAAACATGTTGTTTAAATTGTCTTTTCCAGACAAGTTAATAACATAGAAAAGGCAACCTATTATTTTTTAGTGGAAAAATATTATAATTATCATTATATTATTAATTCAGGAATGGAATCATGCCAGGCTTTTGAAATCTTCCAGACCCTTTATCTTACAATGCTATTCTATGGCCAGAATTCTCTCTCATCAGTTTACAAATGGAGCAGGACAAGTTGAAAAAGATTGCATAACTTTAGTTCAAGGCTATGTTGGAGTCCAGGGGTGGACTCAGCTCAAATGGATAGTTTGATTTTAATTTTGCTAATCCATGTTTCTCCTTTACAATAATACAGAACCTGACAGAGAAGCTCAATAACACAGGAAGCCTCAACTAAGCCACATAAATAAAGCTTATCACTCTCAACAGCTCTGTATTAACAGTGCTTAATACATTCCACATATAAACACAGAGACTTAGGGGGTAGAACAGATCATGCAGGTTTATACAGTGGAAAAGGCTCAGAGACCCACTACAAACCCACAAGCCTGTCTCTCATTCTTGTAGAAGAATGCCAGAAGCCTCACAGGGGAAAATGGGAGCCAGAGTCAGTCAGATGGCTTTCCATACCAGAGGGACTTGTCAGGAAGGTAAACACAAAGGTGAAGAGTGGGAACGGGTCACCTCAAAACTTCTGTCTATTTTAATGATAGCTTGCATCGGTCTCTTCCTTACACTTGCCCCTGGCTTCTTCGTACTCTTAAACACAAAACACTTTCAAAAAATTTTACATGAGTGGCTACACATTTATCCTGGGCTCAGTTTAGATAAAGGTTCTAGTACCTAGGATATAAAGAGAAAGAGTATTTCTTAGCTAGGGTTACTATTGCTGTGATGAACCACCATGACCCAAGCAACTTGCGAAAGAAAGGGTTTATTTTACTTACAATTTCATATAGCAGTGCATCATCAAAAGCAGTGAGGACAGGAATTCATGTAGGAAAGGGACACGGATGCAGGAGTTGATGTAAAGGCCATGGAGAGGTGCTGCTTACTGGCTTGTTCCCCATGATAGGCTCAGTCTGTTTTCTTATAGAATCAGGACCATCAACCCACCTCCCCCACCAATCACTAAGAAAATGTTGCATCTTAGGCAGACATTTTCTCAGACGGCTCTAGCTTACCTCAAGCTGACATAAACTAGTCAGCGAGTATGATACAGTTTGTACTTTCATGGCTCAGTGTGTGTTAGAACGGATGTTCATGTCCCAAACATTCTTCATTCCCCCACAAAGAAACTCCCGGCAGCTGGAGGCTTTCTCTCCCTTTTGCGAGGATGTTTACTTTTACATGTTGCATGGTATTTTGTACAGCCCTGGGTAGGACGAACTCTAAAGACATAATTTATTGATGACTTCAGGTGTCAGGTGGTTAATGGGCACTCACTAACTGAATTCAGACAGCAGCCAAGCACTCAGTGGCTTATGGTGGTGGTGTGTTACAAACAGGTGCATAGATAGTGGTATCAGATGTCTTTGCTGCATTACAGACACTAGGTTAGAAAGTAGACTACATATAGAGCTCTAGGAGTCCTGAGAAGTGAATGGCTCTCCGTCTCCAAAGAACATTATTACTCTAATGAATAATTATGAGATTAGCTACTTCTTTCCTTGATTATGGCATGAATCAAATCATATATGCTTCTTTGTAACATATATTAACTATCTGTACTTGGGAGTAAATCAAGTGTTTTCTCATTTTGTTTTAAATTTTTATTCAGATTCATAATAAAGACTTTGTAGTATAGTAAGTGGAACATGATTTTAGTAATTTTTATATAATGTTTTCCTGATCCTGATCATCATGTGATATATGTATGTATGTATGTATGTATATGTATGTGTGTATGTATATATATTCCCCTGGAGGTACATTTCTTCTCTCTAAAAAGACATGTGCAGAAAAGAATTGTTTTTGCTTTTAAAAGCCCAGTGTTAATCTCGCCTGGAAGGAACGTCTGCAATACAATAGAGCTTGACAGTGACTGACTGATCTATCTGTGTGACTGTGCAAAGGAGGACAAGGGAGATTCCCTAGCAGGGGCTTGGCTCCCACTAAGAAGTACCAGAAGCGGGCGGTGGTGGCGCACGCCTTTAATCCCAGCACTCAGGAGGCAGAGGCAAGTGGATCTCTGTGAGTTTGGTGCCAGCCTGATCTACAGAGCTAATTCCAGGACAGCCAGGGCTGTTACACAGAGAAACCCTGTCTCGAAAAACAAGAAACACAAAGCAAAACAAAAAAAAAGTAGCAGAGTTGATGAAGATTCCCAGTAGCTGCAAACGGAGTTGGTGGGGTCCAAAGTCCTGAGAGGACTTGATCAAAGCCTGTTCCTATTCAGTGCAGGGTAGTAATGGAACAGTGGACTTCACAGGAAATGAGTCAGGGCCACACAGCAAATTATTCAGGTCTAGTGTCACAGATGGAAGCACTCTGTGAACTACATTCTGTAAAAGTCCTAGAAATCTAAAATTTGTGATTGACTCTCCTTTGTCAAAAATTTCCTTTGACATCAACACAAAGACTCATATATAGAGACTTATATACAGATTCACAATTTTCTGAATCTTAAATTAAGAACAAGGAAATCTATATACACAACATCTCTGTGGCATTGACTGAAACAAATGTACGTAGATTCCAAGAACGCTGAAAATCTAGTCACATGATAATTTGCCATTGCATTTACACATAGATTTTAATATATAAGCAACGTGAAATCTAGCACCCACGCCCCCCAATTATATCCAGCTCAATTTTATGACCTCGGGTCCAAAATAGATTCAGAAGTCTAGGAAAACGTTCTCAAAGTCAGAATGAGAAAAAAACAAAGTGTTTTTTTGAAGGGAAGTGTTTAAATATAAATGCCCAAACGGAACTCTGCGAAATGTGTCTCTGGGACGCCTTAGGTCCCTGGAAAGCCAGAGAGCTGCTTTTTTTTTTTTAAAGTCATTTTGATCAAATTATTTTGTTGTTTGTTTAGGCATTCCAAAATTCCTTTGCCAGGCACGGAAAGTTCTCATGTCTTTGGAAGATTTTTTTTTTAACCCGATTCCAAAAGAAAAAACGATTTTTGAGAAGTGTTATGTTGAATCAACACGCGACTGGAAAACTCAGTGTCCTGTGTTAATTTGTGGGGCAAGTGAGAAGCTGGAGGAGGGCGCCCTGGTAGCAAGGCCGGGTCGTCTTCCCGCAGCCGGGCAGCAGGGGGCCCCGGTTCCCCGCTCCCGACTCGGGAATCCCTGCTCCGGGCTGCTCCAAGACGCTCCCCGCCCAAGGTCAAACTCTGCAGACGCGTGCGGGCCGCTGCCAGGTGGTCGGGGGACGCTGAGAAGCGCTGTCGAGCTCTGTGGGCGGGTAGCGCGGACTGTGCATACAACGGTGCCGGGGATGTGGAGCGCCGGCGGCCCGGGAGGTAGCGACGCTCCCGGGAGGGGTGGAGAGCGTGCGGTTGCCGCAGAGTGGCTCGGACGCAGAAGCGGAGAGCAGCCGGAGGGCGCCCCGCCCCGACCGAGCAGCGGGAGCCCCCGGCTACCCAGGCCTCCGCCTGTCACCTACGTCCAGCCAGCTCCACGGTCTCCTCCCCTTGCTCAGGTCCACTCGGTCCCTCCCCTGGGCCGCCCAGAGCACCAAGTTGGCGGGAGCCTATAAAAGCCGTACCTTGCGACCCGCGACAAACACTGCAAGACCGCTAGACAGAGGACAACTGCTGTTCTGCCCCAAGCACCGGCGCGACCATGTCCCACCACTGGGGATACAGCGGGCACAACGGTGAGTGCGAGGCCGCGAGCTCCGGGCCACGCGCTCCAGGTCTCGGTTTAGGCTCCTGCCTAGCACCCAGCTCCCGTAGCGCAGCTGGATGCTTGGGTCCCAGCCGGGCCCCCGCGCTGGGATGTCCCTGGCGCGACTCGGAGAACTATCGAGGATCTGATCTGAAGCCAGCCTGGCGGTGCGCAGGGGCCAGGAGGGACAGCGCAACACAACACCGGAGGACAGTACCTATAAGGACCACCTAGGCAGAATCACACAAAGGTCCTTACGAATGTTTTAGCAGTAGGTCACAGAAAGATTACGGAGGGGGAGGGGGAGACGGGGGACTCTTGTCCCCTTGGCTTCAGTCTCTGCCGCACCTGTGGCTAAGACTCCCAGCGTACTTTGTCAAGGCATCTTCTGGAGCCAGTTTGAATCTAACTGAACTGGCTCCAGAGTTATTCATTCATTTCTCAACTTGCAGTGTCGTTGATAACTGGATGTCTTCCTAGTCACAGACCTACGTGCCTGAGGTCAGCTGAGAGGAAAGGAAAGCACACCTGGCTCGTGGTTGAAGTGTGTGGGCTCTCTAGGAGAAAGAATTCAAAGGAGGTGTCTGTGCCTGAGCCTTGATCTATATCCTCTGTACTCTCACCTAGAGTGACAGCAGGAGGCACCCAGACCTGCTAATGCCCTAGGGAGAATACCTATCCCAAACCCAATCACAAGAGGATGTGTATCCTCAGCTGAACTACAGCACCATCAGTAATTCTGCCCAGTTCTAGTTACTGAATTTGGGTAAAAAGACCTCAAAATTGTTAACGTTTGCCTGACATCATCTGTTAAGAAATGAATGTATATGAATTCTAATTTTCACACAGATCTTTATTAGGAAGACTTGAAATATTATTGCTCCAATGTTACTAATAAGAAGACTGGGGAACATTTTGTTTTTGTAAATGCTACAGTGCTATAAAGTATCACCTCCAAATTCTGAACTGAGCAGACTATCTCTAGAATTACTGGTGACTTCTAGTTGCTAGTGTTCCCTTTCGCACTCTGATGGCTTCTTGGTGTCTTTTCACTTTCAGGACCAGAGCACTGGTATAAAGACTTCCCCATTGCCAATGGAGAACGGCAGTCCCCGGTTGACATTGACACCAAGACTGCCCAGTATGACCCTGCCCTCCAGCCTCTGAGTGTATGCTATGATCAAGCTACTTCCAAGAAGATTCTCAACAATGGCCACTCCTTCAACGTTGAGTTTGATGACTCCCAGGACTGTTCAGGTCAGTTTCCATTTTAATGGAAGATACAGGGACACTGACAGGAGACCCTTGTAACCACAGTTTGTTTCAAGGAGCTAAGATATCATGCTGATTTCTTTATTAGGTTCTAGAAGCAGGCAAATGTGAACTATCCTGGGGCTGTTTGCTACTTTGTCAGATTGTGAGATCTGTAGGGCATCGGGCAATGTGCCTGGGAGAAGTCATAGAAAGAAAGCCAGGTCCTTAGCAGTGCCGAAAACAGGAAATTTTTGAAAACTTTGAAACTTAAAAAATAATCTTAACTTTTAAACAACTTTTTAAACATTTATCCTCCCGAGCTGATGATGTCTATCCTCGATAAGTATGTCTTTGGTGTCTTAAAGCAAGCAGTATGGAAAGTGATGAGTCTGACGACTTAAAATGTTGAAGTTCCTGGTAAACATCCTGCTTATTGTTCAGTGTCAGCATACTGTGACAAAGGCGGCAGTATCTCATTCTGAAATCTGCTTCACAAGTGAAGAGATTTCAGAGTTAGTTGGCTATGCTTAACCAGTTACTAAAAAGTCCAGTCACCATAATTTATTTGTAATTGTGCTACTGACAGGATGTTGGTGAATGCTTTTGTTCTTTATTTAGAAAGAGGAGACCGATTCCATTTAGACATAGTAGCTGTCTTGATTGCTCACTGACTGATTTAATTGCCAGTGTCCTATTTTCCTGAGTGTTTTCCTTTGAAGGTCACTGAATGAAATGGACCCGTAAATGCATTGTTTAGTGGTAGTTTGGAGAAGGGGTGTGTTAGAGGAAAAGGACCAAGACAGAGAAAACAGCTACTTTTGCTGTCCCAGGTGAAAGTAATGCCTCTGCTAAATACTAGCATGTATATGATGTGTAATTAAAATGCTTATTGGGGGGTGAGGTCGCTAGATAGACAGCAGTCACATGGAGAAAAGACCCTCTACAAGAGGATGGAAAATTCAGATTGCCAAAAGGGGAAAAAAAGCCAGTCTCTTCTTGGAGGCAGTTTTTTTTTTTTTTTTTTTTTTTTGCCTCTGAAGAATTTTCCTCTCCTGACTTAAGGTTGGTCAGTTTGAAGAAAGCTAGATGGTTGATTGGCCCACAATTGTCTAGCAGGCCTGTCCTGAGCAGCCCTTGGGACTTGTTGAGTCAGAAGGTCAATGGGGGCCCTGCTGGTGGGAGAGAGAAGTCATGCAGAGCCTTTGTTTTTATGTCAAGTCATGAGGGTGATGAAAAAGTTGGTCATCTTTGAAATTCTCCACCTTTATTATCTAGCTATGGCCTCTTCCCCGTGTCTGCTTTACTAGGAGTCTTTCTGTCAACATCACTAACAACATGCCTTGCTAAGATAAGGGTCATGAGGGCAGTTGAGGTCTGATTCCTTTCTTGTGTCCTCAGAATCCAGAATGTACTGAAGACGTCTCAAATAGAAGGCTGTAAAGAAGGATATTAAACAATAGGCTTTGACAGTAACCTCGATACATGCAAAAGTAAACTGGCCAAGGAACTGATACAGGATCCAAGGGTCACTGAAATGGATTGTTTGGTCTAAGAATTCTCTGAGGAGTGTTTAAGACCCTAGAAGAAACAGATAACATGGAAGAGTGGGTGGGTGGGTGGGTGGGACGGGGAGTATTGTCTGAAGAGAGGAATGAGAGTTCCGGTGGCACAAGCCCGGGTTTTCAAGCTTTTGGAAGATAGGGTAAGGGGAATGGTTTCCTGGCAGTAGCTTGCCCGCAGGCCCCCAGGCAGGGAAGTGAGTAGGGAACAGGATATGTGACTACCAATGCTTTTTTTTGATTTAAATTTTTCCCCAGGTGGGAAATCCTGACATTTGGAAATCTGTTATCTAGAGACTTACAGACAATGTCCTCAGTTGAGTATCTATCAATATCTGTGAAAAGGGAGGGCTGTCAGTTTGGTACTTACAAAATGATGTGAGAAAAACAAGGAGGCTTAGGCGTCCACATGACACCCCAGTAAAAGTTCCCATAGTAAATTCTGTTCCTTTGGAGGTTGTGTTTTAAGAGACTCCAGGAAAGGGAATTAGGAAACTCCAGGGGGTTAAAGAGAGAACAGAATGTGTGTCTTTGTGCCCTAGATAGCAAAAAGGTCTAGAAAAAACAAGGGTCAGTGAAGATTAGAGGGAATTGTTCTCCCTTGCCCATGAAAGATTCCTTTGTAATTTTGCCAGTCTCCTATCTTTTTCAGTGAAGTTGGTTAAACAAGAATGTATTAAAATGTTGATATAAAAGGAAATCCCACTCATAGAATAAGTTAAAAAGTTATGCAGCACCTGGAGAAATACTCATTAGATTTTCTTTTTAATGATTCTTAAATTCTCAAAGTAGAAGAAATGATAGTGCTGCTCTAGTCAGCCCACAATATGAGGAAAAAGAACCATTTGCTGAGGCTTGTCCTTCTTCGCACCACTCTCCCGTAAACATGAACTAGTGGCCTTTAATATTTGTATATATGAAACTCAAATGATAAGCATTGTCAATGTTGAATTCTGCATACTATACTTTTATTTATTATTTTTTAATATTTATTTATTTATTATGCATACAATATTCTGTCTGCGTGTATGCCTGCAGGCCAAAAGAGGGCACCAGACCTCGTTATAGATGGTTGTGAGCCACCGTGTGGTTGCTGGGAATTGAACTCAGGACCTTAGGAGGAGCAGGCAATGTTCTTAACCTCTGAGCCATCTCTCCAGCCCCATACCATATTTTTAAAAGGTGATGTAATTTTTCTGTACACGTAAGTCTCAAAGGAATTCATTTTGGTTACTTCATATTTTGAAAATTAACATTAAAGATTCTTTGAGCTGTTTTTAATTTTTCGCATTTAAATGCAGCAGTCATTTACCCCAACCTCTACTCTCTTTATCCCACTTAAAACGCAGCCTCGTAGAATCAAATCTTGAATTCTGGCCTTGCAGTATGTTCTAAATGTTATCTTACACATAGACTTTAGTACCTGGTGTCAAAACTGAACTAGCTGAGTTTGATGTTGTGTTTTTTTTACCTGGAGGTATTTCTTTTAACACATAGAATTAATAGGTCTTAACCTAATTAAATTGAAAGTTTTCAAAATTCCTTAAATTAATCTTAAATTAATGAAAAATTTGCTAATAATCCCTTTTTAAAGTTCTTTTAAAAAGTATTATGAAGGAATAACCTCTGCTTGAGGTGTTTTCCTGCCAGCTTTTTCTGGTATTAAAGGAGTCAAAGCATTAACCACTGCTAACTTATTAACTCTCGTTAATAAGTTAAAACTCTGCTTTATTGCAAAGTTACAGAAGAATATTGAGAAATGTCGGAATTTTTCGGTCAGCTCACACATCATATTCATTCCAGTTAGGGCTCTGTTTTTTAAAAGAGAAACAATGTTTATTTGTTTATGCGAGCTCAGGAAGAAAGAAGGGAGCTGAGCTGTTCCCCAGTGTGCCTTTGAAGCTGCCATTGTCTGGATAACATAATGGAGCTTTGTACCTGGGTTCTGTTTAACTTTGCAGGGACTTAGTTTTGAAGCTGTAAATTTACCTTCCACAAACAATCAAGGAAAGTTCTATGAGCGTGGTTAATCATGTCAGCAGAATCTCTAATACTCAGAACACTGATCAATGTTTCCTAGGCGTGCTGAAATGTTTCCTAAGTTCTCCTAAAAAGGGTCAGGCCGAAGTAATCCTACATAGCTTAAGCTAAAACAATTGATTTTCATTGTGCTACTCTAGTGAAGTTGATAGCTAAATGTTTTATTGTTTAGCAGAACTGGAATATGAGCTCCTCTCTTAGATATGCTTGCATGACTATAAATAGTCCTGGGATTATTTGGTACTGTCAATGAAAAAGTATGTATAGTTTAATAAGCAGTAAAAATTGCATGCATGGATTAAAAAATATCAGAGTTTTTGCAGAGAAAAGTCTTTAAATATTAATGTTGACATCTTATCTGTGGAAAGTTTTCATTTGTCTGTTTGAACAGGAAATTGCTAAATGTTGATTTAGGTAAAACATATTGGGATGTTTACTTATAATTTTGGATTAAAGGAGATTACTTACCCCAGTGGTCTTTAGTTTGTTGTTCGAATACATCCTAATTAGCAATAGTAACTGGGAAGAAAAATAGTGAAATATGGTAAATTTTCAGCTATTTTATATGGGTTTCTAATTGATTTCAGCAGTATAGAATCTCCTATTTTAACAAAAATATGGGTTAATAATTTATCTAGGTATTCAGCATAATAAGACATTATTATATAGTGTTATGGTATTTATACTGTGTTTAACTGGTAACAGATTATAAAAGTTAAAATTGGGACAAGTTCTGGTTTGTTTTTTTTTTTAAGATTTATTTATTTGTTATGTATACAGTGCATGCCAGAGGAGGGCACCAAGTCTCATTACAGATGGCTGTGAGCCACCATGTGGTTGCTGAGAATTGAACTCAGGACCTTTGGAAGAGCAGGCAAAGCTCTTAACGACTGAGCCGTCGCTCCAGCCCCAAGTTCTGGTTTTAAGAGTTGAAATTTAGTTTGATATTTGAAAGTCTTGAGTAAACAAGAGTAGAAAGCCCCTTTTATCCTACCTCCTGGCAGAACAAGTATCTTTGGCGTGGCGGACGCATGGACTCTGTGGGAACCCCTTCCCCCCAATGTGGGGTAAAACATCTGTCTAGTGTTAAAACCACTGGGTATATTTAACATTGAATCATTTCTTCAATTGTTCACAAAGCCTTTAAAAATAAAAGTTCATATACACTCAAAACATTTGTGTTTAAAATATTCCCTAAAACAAGTGGAAGATGATGCAATTTCAAAGTCTGAAAAGGAGGGAATAAGAAATAGTGGGAAAGTATATTCACTTTAAAATATGGCGGTATGATTCTCCTCTGGTGGAATGCAGATATACTTAGGTTGGTGATGCCTGATGCTTAAGATAGGTTCATTGAATTGGATTAGCCCCTTGACTGATCTAATGACATTATGCATGATGTTTGCTGCATATGAGCTTTGCAGAATCAGGGTAAAAAAAAAAATCTAAATTGCTACATCAAAATGATTGCATTGTTAAGTGTGTATTTGTGATGGTGTATGTCTGGTCTTATTGTAGTTTGTGATGCGTATTTGGTTTATATCCCTGGATATCTTGTTGGAGGGGAGGTGTGTGGGGTAGGTGGTGGATCTGGAGAGAGGTGAATCTGGAAGAGAGGGGAGGTGGTAGGGAGAAACTGGTGGGAGGGGAGAACTACAGTCAGGATGTAATGTAAGAGAGAAGAAGAAAAATGAGAAAACTGTATTCTTTCATTTCTGAAAAAAACATAGCATAAGGGCCTGGGCTCAATACTTTCTTTCCACTCTCATCAGATAAATAAACACAGTCGCTTCGGTGCTTTAAGGGACATGATCTCAACAAAGTACATTTGAGTTCATGTTTCTTCACATATGAGTAATATAACATCATTTATGATTTATTTTTTCGGTTTTCATTCTTCTTATTTTTTCTTGGTCCATTGGAAGAGTAAGCAGCCAATGATTGCATAGTTGCTGTAGAAAGGCCACACTGCATCTCGGCCAGTTTCACCCTTTACTTTGAATAGATGAATAATAGGCCTGTGCTGCAGGCCGAATGTATTTCAGTGAAATGAAGCAAATGATATTTATTGTACAGACTTTGCCCTTGTGTTTTACAAAGCCCTGTGAATTAAATTCATTATTTTATAGAATTACAGTCCAAGGCCAATAAGATGTATCTAAAGCAGCAGATGCTTTTCACCCTAGAAAGACAGACTAGTAGAATGGAGTCGCTTCTGAAAACATTTAGCTGTATTGTTCAAAGGACATAGATACATACACATAAATAAAAGTTTTAATTTCTTTGTTTCTATTGTAATCCTCGCTCAATACACGCTTGTCAAGTGTCTCTAAATGATGCAGTCCAAGCCTGTGGCCTCTAGAATGATTTGGTCACTAAAGTGAAGTTAGTTCCAGGATAGTGAATCCGAATAGTTTCTATAGTTCAAATTTCAGTTTCTGGAACATAATAAAGCACCTTGTTTTATACTACATGTAGAGATGATGGATAGGTTATTATTAATGAAATAAACAAATGAACTATACATTTTACAGATTAGGAAGTTCCAGAGGTTGAATATAGATATTCAGGGACAAAGTTAGTTAACGTAAGCACAGTTAAATTTTATAATATTTTGAATTCTTTCACAAATCTGGTGTTTGGACTGTCAGGACGATCTTTGGGCCACATGGGAAGATAGGCCCCTGGGTTCGCAGATCATTCCACTAGCCCTTTGACTAACTGTCCATCAAGTCTCCTCTCTCTAGGTCTGAAAGCTTACAGGAGACATACCAATGTGCCTGGCAAGTGTGTCTGTGTGTGTGTGTGTGTGTGTGTGTGTGTGTGTGTATCTGGAGACATTATATGCATGTATTGTAATTTCAGTGCTGAAAGGAGGACCGCTCAATGGCACCTACAGATTGATCCAATTTCACTTTCATTGGGGCTCATCTGATGGGCATGGCTCTGAGCACACTGTGAACAAAACAAAATACGCTGCAGAGGTAAGATCATTTCTTTGTCACAGAGAAAAGCTTATTTAGCATTAATTTCCAAGACTTAGTTATAAATAAAGTCTAACACATACCAAGTCAACAACCTCTTTGCAAAAGACCTTCATGGTGGTTCTTAGGGGCTTTGTTATCATTCAGTTAAGTCTGTCTAAACAGCACTGAATTTATTTTATTATAAATCCATATAAAATCTCTGCCTTTTCTTGATACTCTACATTCCTTGTCTTAGAGTAGTTTTTAAAGTGATGTACTATTATAACAAATATAGCCAGAAGTAAATCAAGTCTCCTTTTTTCTTAAAGTTATCCGCATTTTCTTTTTAATAAACTTTTTAATAAAGCTGTAAAGGGAAGAGAGGGAAGAGTAGCCACTAGATGAAATCTGTTCACCTTTTTATCATGTGAATCACGTACTGTGGTTTTTCTCCCCTGGCTTTAGCTTCACTTGGTTCACTGGAACACCAAATATGGTGACTTTGGGAAAGCTGCACAGCAACCAGACGGACTGGCTGTTTTGGGTATTTTTTTGAAGGTTAGTTAATGGCCCACTTCTTTGTTTCCCTGTGTTCAAGAATGATTGGCTAGATAGAATATTGATCTATCTAGCCAATAACAGGAAGAACACTCTACTAAAATTCTGAGGAAATGCTTTTGGCACTAAAGTATTTCCAGGCTCAATTCTCTCTCCACCACTCCATTCTTTCCCTATGGATGTCTGAATGACACTTTGAGTGTGCCACTTAGAAACCAGTTAGATATTAATGTGATGAAAAGGCAGATGTAAACTGAGTGTGATCAGTAGGATATGGTTTGCTTTAATCAAACCGTCAGCTAAGGTTCCTACTCGATTAGTTTAGGACAGACAGTGCTAAAGTGAGATCAACTTCTGGCTGGGTGGTACTGGGGTTCTGGGTCAGGTTCTCAATGTTGAGAAATTTCAGGAACTGTGGGATCTCAGAGTTGAGCTGCCCCTAGCAAATTGGAAAGGGAAGTCTAGAACACTTTGGGGTGTGTGTTCATGAGTTGTGTCCCACGCCGAAGCTCATCCAAAGGATACTCATGCAAAGATAGCAGAAAGAGAAAAATGATAAAAATGCTCAGGATATAATCCTGAGAAACTGCTAATGTGAGAGGCCTTTAAGCCCTGAGAACATAATTACTAACGATTGAAAAGAAACATAGGAGTCAAGAGATAAGAAGGTGAGAAAGTGGGGGGGGAAAAGGAGAATTTGTATAAGGAGGGGTAGGCAAGAGTGTGAGTTCCTTCAAAGGCATCAGTTGAGGTCAGCTTTTGAGTTCATTCAGCTTAGCTGTTGGAGGTGATAGGGAACATAGGACAATGCAATTCAGGGGAGCGAGTTACAGAAGCAGAGGTGACAGCTGAAATGCTATGCTCTCAGTGTTTACAAGCCACAAATGACGTGTGGCATGTTGAAGGAGTAGCAGCTTCTTCTTCTTCTTCTTCTTCTTCTTCTTCTTCTTCTTCTTCTTCTTCTTCTTCTTCTTCTTCTTCTTCTTCTTCTTCTTCTTC